GGCCCACATTGTGGATGATGGCCATTGAGGATGATAGCCATTGTGGATGATGGCCATTGTGGATGATGCACTAGGTTTCTGTTGTCTTGCTTGTACTTAGTTTTTCTACACCAGTGACTCTATTGTATGATTTGACAAACACAAAGTGAAGAATCATACAAAACTCTAAGAAATTCCATTTTTGTTTTTTTTGCCAAGATGACATTGAAAGTGAAGAAGAAAGTGCCTGCCCTTACCAAAGCCGAAGTCAACGTGAAGGCTTTGGAAGCCAAGAAGGCAGTGTTGAAAGATGTCTACAGCCACAAAATGAAGAAGACCTGTACGTCACTCACCTTCCGGAGCAGTCCCAGACTCTGTGGCTCTGGAGGCAACCCAGATACCCTGGCAAGAGTGCCCCCAGGATTGACCACTATCACCAAGATCCCACTGACCACTATGTCAGCCATGAAGATAGAAGACAACAGCACACTTGCGTTCACTGTGGATGTCCAGGCCAACAAGCACCAGACCAAACAGGCTGTGAAGAAATTCTACCACACTGATGTGACCAAAGTCAATTCCCTGCTCAAGCCTGATGGAGAGAAAGCCTATGTTCATCCATCTCCTGATCACGATGCTTTAGATGTTGCCAACAAAACTGGAATCATCTAAGCACTACAGTTGTCTAATTATAAATACACATTTTTCGCTATAAAAGAAAATTCACTTTATTATGCTAAGGAAAAATTCAGTGATCAAATTGTGTATTTGATTTAAATATGAGAAAGCACAGGCACAGTCTTCTCATGTGACATTTGTCTCCCTGTGGCTGGCTTCTATCACTTAATGTCATAACATACAGGTTCATTTATCATGCTGTTTATATCCACTCATCCACAGATGCACACTAAGTTTGATTCTGTATCTAGGCTATTGGAATAGTGTTACAATAAACACAGCGGAGCAGATGCCTCCCTCACATATTGGTCTTCTTTCTTTTGGAGACTAATGGGATTGTAGAGTCACACAGCAGTTCTATTTTTAGGTATTCTGAGGGCTTTCCACACTGTTCTTCATAATGGTATACTACTTCCCATTCCTACCTACTACCAATGTATAAGACTTTCTTAAGTAAGTCCAATAGAGCTCCCCACATGTTTGATTTTGGAAATTTGGAGAGAATACTAATAGTCCATGTCAAGGAGAAGTATCAGTTTGAACAGCAAATGTGTTCAGAGTTTAAAATGGGACAGTTGTAGAAATCATTTAAAATACATTCTGAGAGTGAAAATTGAAGTCTACCTAGAAGATTAAATGTCAGTAACAAAAATTTCTTAGAGATTAAGCTATGATGTTCATAGAAATTTATTTTCATATTTTTAATATCAATGGTAAAACTTCTCAGCACACATTCAATAAAGAGATTTTATTGATACTTGCATAAAATCAAAAAGAAAACATAGTGGAGTACCAGAAAGTTTATAGTATAACTGATACACTCAAATCCTGCTGGAGACATTGCAAATGAAAACTCCATTTTGGGACGACTGTATGGATTGTACAAGAGCTATAAATACAGTGAAATGATTTTGCCCAGAATTTCTATTCCTGGTTATTAAAGGGCTATAACTCAAATTATATTACTGAAAAACCTCATAGATATGATCTATGTAATAATAACTTATGAGAGTGGTTTGATGTATGTGTATATACTTGCTCAAAGTGGAAGAATGAAGATTGAAGAAACATGAGAAGATATTTAAATTGATGTTAAAACAGCATTTATAATGATTACTATTTTGCAAACATTTTTGCCAATAAAAAGAAAAAGAGAATGGTATTAGAGAGAACAGCAAGTGCTCTTAAACATTGGGCCGTCTCTCCAGCCTCCACATCCTCCAAAGGTACTACTGTTTTCTCACTGTTTTCTAAAAGTTGAAGAACAGTTTTTCAATATGTTTAATATATATATTTCTCAAATAGCAAACACATGCAGATAGACATGCTCTAAACACATGTTTAAATGTTCTTCCTCTAGTGATTTAAAGAGATAGAGGTAAGTGGAATAAAGATAGAGAAAAGAAATGAAAGAAAAAAAGAATGGAGAAGCCCAGGGTGGCAGCATGCTGTTTCGCCCCCCTGGGGAGTCAGGCAGGGCATTGAGGGCTCTTCAGCAATAGTTGTGGAAGCCTCGTGTCACAGGAGGCAGGTGGGATAGACCACACTGACCACCCTGCCTCATTTCCTTTGTCCTGTTGCCACGTTTAGCCATCACCCTGACTAGACCTGGGACGTATCAGCAATGGAAGATCTGACTTTAGACTGGTGGCTGGAGATGAGGCAACTACATTTTGTCTCATGCATAAATTTGGTTTCACTGACACATTAACCACAGACGGAGAGGAAAAGGCCACAAGGTATGGTGTTAGTTTGAGTGGAGCAAAGGTACTTGTATTTTAAAGAAAAAAAAAGGTGTCAGTATTGCAAAGACTTTCCACAATTCCACACCCACCCTAATGCAAACCTAACACAAAATCTAACAC